AAAAAAAAAAAAACAGGAAAAAAGACTGCTTTAAAAAAAATCTTGGTTGCATATAAATTGAGACCTTTTTTAGTCTGTAGGTTGTGACCCATTAGTGAGTCATAGAATTAGTAGATTCTGATCAGTGTTATATTCATTTTTTAGAAATTACTTACTGATATATAATAGTTGTACATATCTTGGGGATACACATTATATTTTGACCCCTGAATACAGTGTCTCATGATCAAATCAGGGTAATTGGGATTAATCAGCATTTAAAAATAGCATAAAAATTATCAAAGTAGGGCTGGGCATGGTGGCTCACACCTGTAATCCCAGCACTTTGGGAAGTTAAGGTAGGAGGATGGCTTAAACCTAGGAGTTTGAGGTTATGGTGAGCTCTGATCATGCCATTGCAGTATAGCCTGGGCAACAGAATGAAACTTTGTCTCTAAAAAATAAAAATAAAGTTTGACAAAAATAAAACTTTTACAAGTTGTACTTTGATGTTTTCTTTTCCCCTTGGGCTCAAACAGTTGTCTCACCTTAGCCTCTCAAGTAGGCAGGACTACAGGCATGGGCCACCATGCCCAGCGAATTATTTTTGTAGAACTTTAAAGTTTTAGTTAACTTTTCAATTTGTTATTGCAATTTATTTTATTTTTTTCGAGACAGAGTCTCGATCTGTTGCCCAGACCATACTGCAACCTCCGCCTCCTGGGTTCAAGTGATTTTCCTGCCTCAAACTCCCGAGTAGCTGGGATTCCAGGTGCCCGCCACCACACTGACTAATTTTTGTATTTTTAGTAGAGATAGGTTTCACCATGTTGGCCAGGCTGGTCTTGAACACCTGACCTCAGGTGATCTGCCCGCCTTGGCCTACCAAAGTGTTGAGATTACAGGTGTGAGCCACCGTGCCCAGCCTGTTATGCAATTGAAATAAGAATATAAATTAGTAATATTTTTAGTAGAGATGGGGTTTCACCATGTTGGCCAGGCTGGTCTCCAACTCTTGAGCTCAAGTGATCCATCCTCTTCAGCCTCCCAAAGTGCTGGGATTACGGACATGAGCCACCATGCCCAGCCTAGCCTGGCTGTTTAATTCATTTTATCAGAATTAATTTTACAATTGGAAAACAAAAATTTAATGAACTATTATTAAAATTTTGACAAAATATCTTGATGTGGTTTACTGGATATCTGATATCAAAATGGAGTTTTCTAACATCTTTAATAAATGGCCCTCAGTTAATTTTGACAGTGATATATTATAGGAATTTAAAGAGCCATCTTCTTCTTTGAAATCAGGTTTGGCAGGAAATAAATGTGGAAGCTAAACATGTTAAAGATATCATGAAAACACTAGAGAGCTTTAAACTAGACAGCGCCCCCTTGAAAGCAGCACAGCATGAATTTCCAGCTTCTGAGGGAGAAGTCTGGTCCATGCCTGTACCTGTTGAACGAAGGTAAGTGGAGACCTTTTAAGAAACCAGTTAGCTCAAGGAGCTTATAGCATTGATTATATCTAGGAGGAGGATGGGGTGGCTGAGAGACAGGAATGGGAGGGAGTTTTTTTTTACTGAATATTGTCTCTTTTATAACTCTTGAACTTTGTATCATATGCCTTTGTGACCTATTTCAAAAAATAAGATTTAAGTAGGAATAATTCAAATATGTGCTTTTGTGAATGACCTTAAAGTGCTAGAGACAGTGTTACCCTGTGGAAGGAGAATGGGGTTAGGAATTGAAACATCCAGGCTCTGCTTCTGTCTTTGTCATTCTCTGTGGCTTTGGGAAAATAAAAACTTTTTAGACCTCAGATTTTTCTTTTCTTTTTTTTTTTTTTAGACAGAGTCTTACTCTGTTGCCAGGCTGGAGTGCAGTGGCATGATCTCAGCTCACTGCAACCTCTGCCTCCCAGGTTCAAGCGATTCCCTGCCTCAGCTTTCTGAGTAGCTGGGATTACAGGTGCGCCCCACAATGCCCGGCTAATTTTTTGTATTTTAGTAGAGATGGGTTTCACCATGTTGGCTAGGATGGTCCCAATCTCCTGACCTCGTGATCCTCCTGCGTCGGCCTCCAAAAGTGCTGGGATTACAGGTGTGAGGCCAGGCCTCAGGTTTTTCTTATGTAAAGAGAGAAAGTCAGACTAACAGTGGCTCTCAAACAGGCATCACAGATTACTTCTTTTCATCAAGGTATAATGTTGCTAAAAATGAAAAAAAAATGGGCTTTTTAATTTATAGAGAAAAGTTAAAAGATAAAATGTTCTGAATTTTAGGGTTTTCTCTGGCATTTTTTCCCCAACTTCCTACTACCAAGTGCTAGCAAATGAACAACTAGTGATACTGATATTTACTGAAATACTCTAAATAGCCAATCGTGTAGTTTTACTGCATAATTTTTAACTGACCAGTGTGCAGGTGGATGTTATCCATTTCATTCACATAGTAGATTTCCTAGTTTGTATTATAGATTTAAATATTGAATGTGTCATGCCTTTCTAGAAAGAACACCTATGACTTCCCATGTTCATTGCCTGTTAACTTTGCATTAAGATGTTGCCCAGATGGTTTTCAGTTTTTTAATATCTTATCACTGCAATTTTGAATTCTTGTTTTTTTTTGTTTTTTTTTTTTTAATACTAGTCAAGTGCAATAGTGAGAAGTAGAGGAAGAATAGAACAAGGAGTTTGATCTGTAACTGACTGTGAACAATCAATTGAGATAACTCACTACTTTTGGACAGCCTTGGTTATATTTTATTTAATTTTATTTATATTTTATTTTATTTATTGGGATGGAGTCTCACTCTGTCACCCGTGCTGTAGTGCAGTCATCTTGGCTCACTGCAATCTCTGCCTCCCAGGTTCAAGCATTTCTCCTGCCTCAGCCTCCCGAGTAGGTGGGATTATAGATCTGCACTGCCACACCCAGCTAATTTTTGTATTTTTAGGAGAGACAGGATTTCACCATGTTGGCCAGGCTGGTCTTGAACTACTCACCTCAGGTGATCCGCCTGCCTTGGCCTCTGAAAGTGCTGGAATTACAGGCGTGAGCCACCAAGCCTGGGCTGGTTATATTTTATAATCACAGGTGCTGGATTATACACCCACAGTGTCCTGAACTATTTTAGGCTATAGGTGTTATTTTATTTATTTCTTACAATATGCCTTCCAGATAGGTCATATTTTCTCTATATTTCAGATAAGACAGCTGAGGTACAATAAGGTTGGGTAACTTTTCCCCACTATCACAAAACTGGTAACTGGTAGAGCTAGGATTTGAACCTAGATATATTGTGTTTTATAATATAATTACAAATCTAGCATTTTATAATATAATTACAAATCTAGCACTCTCTGCTATAGCAGGCCTAATAATCTCTAATTAAAAATGATTAAAAATGTGGATTCAGGGGCATCACTCCCAGAGAATGTGATATAATAGATAGTGGATAGAACTCAGGAATCTACAGGTGATTCTGATATAGGTGGTCCATATGTCACACTTTGAGAAGACTGATAGCATCATGTTCTTGACATTTAAAATCAATTAATGAGTACTGATTATTTCTTAGCCACTTTTATTTTTATTTATTTATTTATTTTGAGATGGAGTCTTGCTCTGTCGTCCAGGCTGGAGTGTAGTGGCAAGATCCGAGCTCACTGCAGCCTCCACCTCCTAGATTCAAGCAATTCTCCTGTCTCTTCCTGTCAAGTAGCTGGCATTACAGGCACGCACCACCATGCCCAGCTAATTTTTGTATTTTTAGTAGAGATGGGGTTTCAGGATGTTGGCCAAGTTGGTCTTGAGCTCCTGACCTCAGGTAATCCACCTATGTTGGCCTCCCAAAGTGCTAGGATTACAGGCGTGAGCCACTGCACCTGGGTGCCATTTAATTTTCTTAATCTCCACATACAAGGACTGTACTAATGTTCTGTTACTAACTCCTGATATCCTTTGGATATTTACTGAATTTTTCCCATGCCTCATAAGCACTTTCATGTAGATTACACTTTCTGTTATGTAATAGTTCACTACAAAGAAGGACAGTAGACGTATTAAAGAAAAATAGAAAAATTCATAGAAGTAGGGGGAAAATCACAGTCATCCTAGTTTATTTCCTTCTGATCTTTTATGCATTATTTTCATAGTTGCAGTTGTGCTATGTCCATAATTTACAACATTGTGCTTTCTTCTAAGAAAAATCCAAACAATAATAAACAATCATTGCATATTTACTGTGTGCCAGGTACTGTGTTTGTTGTTTTGCATGTATTACTTAATTCTTAAAACCATCTTAAAAGGTAGGTACTAATTTTTTTAGCCCCAATTTCTGATGAGGCTAAGCTAAGATAGGTTAAGTAATTTGCTCTTCATATTTTAAACATTTGTGATTTATAAGCCATGCCAGATATTTTTCTCTGCAGTTTTTTTAAGAGTTATTTGCTATTGTTCTGACTGGTATGTGACCTATATAGTTAACCATGCTTTTAATGTTTTTTCCCCTTTTTTCATTATTATAAAGTTATGTGAATATTTCTGAGTAAAAATTTTTCTGCATTTATAATTTTTTCCCCTAATTTCAGAAGTAGAACTAGCAGATAAGTCAAGCTGTGTTTTTGCTTTTGCCTGTTAATTTGTTTTATTCTTATTTACTTGCTCTTTTGTTTTCTCCTTCTGGAGGATCATTGCTTGGGTCTTGTATTAGTCTGCTTGGGCTACCATAACCAAGTGTCATCCACTAGGTGGCTTAAACAACAGAAATTTATTTCTCACACTCAGGCTGGAAAGTCCAAGATCAAGATGTGGCCAGTTTGGTTCCAGGTGAGGGCTCTCTTCCTGAGCAGACAGCTGCCTTCTCTCTGTGTGCTCACCTGGCAGAGAGAGTGAGTGAATTCTTTGGTGTCTTTCATAAGGACATTAATCCTATCACATCAGGGACTCCTACTTACTTACTCCTAATAGTCATTTTGGGCACTGGGGCTTTAACATATGAATTCTGGGGAGGATACAAACATTCAGCCTCTAACAGTCCTATAACTCCTCAGTTATTAGTCAGATTTTTCCAACCAATAGATGTTCCCAGTGGAAAATCAGTTGATTCTGAATTTAGTGAAATATTTGGTTACCTCAGTCTTACAAGCAGAGGCGGGATTCCCTTTGAGGGGTGGTGGGTGGGAAGTTAAGCCCTAAGTGGTGTTCCTTCTTATTGCTTCTTGCTTTCTTCAATATCATTTTCTGTCCCTGATTTTGAATGCTCTAGATTACTGTTATGTTTTCCTTTTTTGATTTTATTTGGCGTCTATTTCTTCTTGTACTTTATTTTACTTGTTCCCTTAACTGTATATCTTTCAAGTTTTTAAAAACTTTTCTATTAGTCTTCATTTGTACTCATGCTTAAGAGAGTCATTTCTTCTTTACTTGTGTTGGTGATTCTAACCTTGTCATCACCTAAATTTTAGTACTATTTAAATAATAGATTTACCTGATCCAGTATTCTCTTCTAGAACTGTACACAAAAAATGTGAGTACAAGGAGGTTCATTGAAGACTTATATTGAAAACGTTACACACAGCTTAAATGCCACTAGATGTGATTCTTTTCAAATGTCTTTTAACAGTCAGCCGATGTCCCTCAAATATCTTCCCATCTCACACAAGAAAACCCAGTTTTCATGTCTTTCAAGCCCTATGGGACCTGGTTCCCCACAGCCTTTAGGACCTAAGTTCTTGCAGCTCTCTCCCTCAGGCACTGTGCTGTGGCTTTGAACAAGCCAAGCACACAGATGCTTTACTCCTTTCATCTGCCTTTCCCTCAGCTCCAGTGCTTAATGACCTTATTTCATTCAGCTCTCTACTTAATTGTCACCTCGGAAAGTTTGTCCCTGTCACCCAGGCTAGAGTGCAGTAGTGCATCTCAGCTTACTGCAACCTCTACCTCCTGTGTCCAAGCAATTCTTATGCCTCAGCCTCCTGAATAGTTGGAATAATTACCTGGCTTTTTTTTTAGATGGCGTCTCACTCTGTCATCCAGGCTGGAATGATGCAGTGGCAAGATCTTGGCTCACTGCAACCTCTGTCTCCAAGGTTCAAGCAATTCTCCTGCCTCAGCCTTCCAAATAGCTGGGATTATAGGCATGTGCCACCATGCCCAGCATTTTTTTTTTTTTTTTTTTGTATTTTTAGTAGAAACTGGATTTCGCCATGTTGGCCATGAGGCTGTCTTCCTGAGGCCATTCCCATTGCCACAGTACTAGGTCTGTTTCATACCTTTTAGTATACATGCCTGGCTTTATATAGCTTCTGTCTAACTACTGTGGTTTATTTGAGAATAGGACTCCTTTTTCCCCCTTTTAAATGGCTGCAACCAAATCTGGGAGCAGAATAGGAACCTAACAGATATTTGAGAAGTCTGAATTCTCCTACAGAAATAAGGATGAAATGAGGACCAGCACAGGGGCTCACTCCTGTAATCCCACCTCTTTGGGAGGCTAAGGTGGGAGGATCAATTGAGCCCGAGGATTTGATACTAGCCTAGGCAACATAATGAGACCTTGTCTCTACAAAATACAAAAATTAGCCTTTTGTGGTGGCATGTCCTTGTAGTTCTTGCTACTTGGGAGGCTGAGGTGGGAGGATTGTTTGAGCTTGGTAAGTCAAGGCTGCAGTGACAGAGCAAGACCCTGTCTCAAAGAATAATAATAATAAGATATAAATACATACAGGTGAAATGAGGTGATGTATGTAAATGTAAAGCACTGTATTTGAGTTCTAGTAACTGTTCATAGCTAGTGCTTATATCAGTTTTTAAATGGGAAAATGATTAAATTTTATTAATTAAAACACAAAAATTATGGTACAAATTGAGCATTCCTAATCTGAAAATTCAAAATGTTTCAAAATCCAAAACTTTTTGAGCACCAACATGACACTTAAAGGTCATGCTCAAAGGAAGTGCTCATTGGGACATTTCAGATTGTGGATTTTCAGATTAGAGATGCTCAACTGCTGTGTATATGCAAATATTCCAAAATCTGAAAAAATCCAAAATTCAAAACACTTCTGGTCCCCAGAATTTTGGATAAGGGATACCCAACCTGTATATTCTAAGTAAATGGTACCAAATTGCATATATACCAGTGGATAAATGTGAATGCAATACTTGTACTGTGTTCTGGTTGTTTTGATAAAACTCTCTTCTCTGATGATTGCTTTTTTCCGTTTCCAGCAATCAGACTAATTTTGCATTCATTTTTGATGTACAGCAATTTCCTTTCTAAGTAGAGGTGATCATTAGTTCCCCTCCACTATTTCTGTAATGTAACTATACTACATTCCTTTCATTAAATCACCACCAACAGCTATGTCAGATTTACATTTTATTTTATTTCTATTTTTCATTTTTTGGGTTCTTTTTTTTTTTTAGTTGGAGTCTTGGTTTGTTGCCTAGGCTGGAGAGCAGTGGTCTTGGCTCACTGTACTTTCCACCTCCCAGGTTCAAACGATTCACCTGCCTCAGCCTCCCGAGTGGCTGGGATTACAGGCACGCACCTCTACACCTGGCCAATTTATTGTATTTTTAGTAGATACGGGGTTTCACCATGTTGGCGAGGCTGGTCTTGAACTCCTGACCTCAAGTGATCCACCCACCTTGGACCTCAAGTGATCCACCCACCTTGGCCTCCCAAAATGCTAAGATTATAGGCATGAGCCATGGTGCCTGGCCCAGATTTAAATTTTTGATCTTAGGTTTCAACATCTTGAAGTTTATTCAGTTGTGTCTTGTGTTCAGTTGTTGCATTGGCTTTTTTAGTTCATAGATTCTAACTTACACAGTATGTGTTTTCATCCACATTTGCAGTTGATTATGATATTAAAAAGTTTTTGTTTGATTAGACCCTCACCAGGACCTAGAAAACGACAATCTTCTCAGTACAGTGACCCTAAATCACATGGTAATCGTCCAAGTACATCTGTCAGAGTTCATCGTTCATCTGCACAGAATCTTCACAATGACAGAGGGAAAGCTGTTCGTTGTCGTGAAAAGAAAGAACAGAATAAAGGAAGAGAGGAAAAGGTAAATATTACTGATTTTCATAAATGAAAAAGTTATTTCCAAACAGTAAAAATGAAGACTGTACAAATTTATTTATTTTTTAATTTATTTTTTAAGATAGAATCTCACCCTGTCACCCAGGCTAGAGTGCAGGGGCATGATCTCTGCACATAGCAACCTCTACCTCCTGGGTTCAAGCAATTCTCATGTCTCAGCCTTCTGAGTAGCTGGGGTTATAGGCAGGCGCCACCACATCCGGCTAATTTTTGTATTAGTAAAGATAGGGTTTCATCAAGTTGGCCAGGCTGGTCTCGAACTCTTGACCTCAGGTGATCCGCCTCCTCGGCCTCCCAAAGTGCTGGGATTACAGGCATGGGCCACTGTGTCTGGCCCAAATTTCAATAAGTTGTAGTCATCTGTTTGCCAGAGCTATGATAAAACCTTACTTTTACTACATCTAGGCTGGGATTTTCCCCACTTGAAATTCAACAAATATTTTGGCTTTTTTTTGGTAACTTTATATTTTGATATAATTTCAGACTAGCAGACAATTTCCAGGAATGGCATAAAGAACTTCCATATATACTTTACCTAGTTTTATCTATTATTAATATTATGCCCCTCTTGATTTATCATTTTCTTCCTCTGTATACCCTTTTCCTGAACCCTTTGAGACTAAGTTGTAAATATGATGCTCCTCTAACCTGTAATACTTCAGAATCTATATCCTGCATACTAGGATATTCTTTTACATAAAAGCAAGACAATTACCAAAAGCTGTAAATTTTACATTGATATAGTTCTGTTCATCTAATCCACAGACCTTTATAAGATTTTGCCAGTTATCCCAATAATGTCATTTAGAGATTTTCCCCCTTCTCTCCCTGCTAGATCAGAATACATTGTAGACACACAAATTGAAATTAATTGTCGTGTTTCTTTAGTCCCTTTGAAAATAAACCTCTTTTCAGCTTTTGCCTTTCTTGGACTGGCATTTTTTTTTTTTTTTTGAGATGGAGTCTCACTTTTGTTGCCCAGGCTGGAGTGCAATGTCACAATCTCGGCTCAGTGCAAACTCCGCCTCCCAGGTTCAAGCAATTCTCCTTCCTCAGCCTCCCGAGTAGCTGGGATTACAGGGGTGCGCCACCATACCTGGCTAATTTTGTATTTTTAGTAAAGAGGGGTCTCGAACTCCCGACCTCAGGTGATCTGCCTGCTTCAGGCTCCCAAAGTGCTGGGATTACAGGCATGAGCCACCACGCCTGGCCTTGGACTGACATTTTTGAAGAGTTCAGGCCAGTTACTTTGTGGATCATGTCTCAGTTTGGGCTTGCCTGATACTTCCTCAGGATTAGATTAAGATTATTCATTTTTGGCAGGAATATCATTGGTAGGATTTTTTTTTTTCTCTCAGTGTATCATGTAAGAAGGTACAGGATGTCTGTTTGTCCTATTACCGGTGATAAGTTGGATTGCTTGGTTAGGTAGTGTCTGCTTGATCTCTCCACAATAAACTTACTGTTTGATCCTTTGTAATAATTTGTGGGAGATACTTTGAGACTATATAAATATTCTGTTTCTCATCAATAATTCATCAAGTTTTAGCATCCAGTGATTCTTGTCTGAATCAATTATTTCTGCACTGATTGCAAAGTATAATTTTGTAATGTCATTATTGCTTCTATGTTAATTATAAAAGCCAAGTGTAGATATTGCTTTGGTTTTTTAAAATTTTTTGTTTGTTATTTTTAATTTGACACGTAATAATCATACATTTTTATGGAGTACAGTTGATAATTCAATATATATACTGGGTAATAAGCAAATCAGTAATTAACATATCCATCACCTCAAACATTTATCATTTCTTTGTGTTGGGAATATTCAAAATCTGTTCTAGTTATTTGAAAATGTACCATAAATTGTTTTTAATTACAGTCACCTGGCTGGGCATGGTGGATTACTCCTATAATCCCAGCACTTTGGGAGACCGAGGCAGGTGGATCACTTGAGATCAGGAGTTCATCAGCCTGGCCAACATGGTGAAACCCTATCTCTATTAAAAATACAAAAAATATTAGCTGGGTGTGGTAGCACACAC